GGGGGGTTACACGTCACATCTCGCAAAAAATGCCAAAATTGAACCTAAATTTCTCCCTTCTGTAAATTGTTTCAAAACTTTGCACATTTCTTAATATCGGCTGAACAAGCTCAATATCCTTTTTTCTTGAAATTTTATTGAAGGGAATAATCTAAGAGACGTTCCATAGAATTTTTTAAAATTGAAGAAAAAAATTATACGAGAAAGATCTTTTACGCAAATTTTTAAATTTTTAAAACGGCCGCAAAAAGACAAATTTTGAGCTTAATTATCCAAACACGCTGTCACCATGGTAACGGACCTTCAGCGCAAAAGTAGTAAATTGCAATGTTCAGGAGAGCATTGTCAATGTGTCTGTTGAACTCATTTGGTTTATTACTTTATTTCGGTATATTTTATTATATATTATAAGTTTTATAAAGGTTTTTACATAACATAATACGAGACACACACACGAGCCATCAGTGTTCTCCGATCCCATGATGCTCTTCTGATAGGATATGACGTAATATGAACAACAAGAAAACATTGCGCAACAGTGTCCAATAAATTTCGTCTTCGTGTCATGTAAAGTGAAGAAATAGGAGTTTTCTGGATACAAAAGTGTAGTATAATGCAAAAACCCTATAGATCCACCTTAAAATAGATTTTTATTATTATTTTATGACTTTTAAACACAGAAATCACTCGTGGTCACTGGTGATCACTCGTGGTCACTCGTGTGTACTTTTAGACATGACCGTAATCAAGTGTGAAAGTGGGATTTGCAACCGATGTGACCAGAGGCTCTCCGTTCTCGCCTCTCGTTTATTTCGCCTCGCAAAGAGCATCTTGGACAAGGGTATAATTACAACTATATATAGGTTTAGATGATGCATGCGTGTTGGTAGAAATTTATAGTAATTAAGAAATGATCGTGGTTTGTGTATTGTCTGCACAATACAGGATTACATGTTATGTATTAAGTAGAATTTTTATCATATGTCATTAATAACAAATTGTTTTATTTTTTTTTTTCACGATTTCTGTTAGTTTCCTTGTGACGATTGTTATAACAGTCCAATAATTTATATGAAATTTCTTTATCTTTTTACAATGTTTCCTGCTCAATTTGAGGTATTTTTCTGCAGCTTGGGACGCAATATAATTTGGCTTGTACAATACTATAGTCTTACTATCCATCGAAAAAGTAATTTTTAAGTAAAGATAAAAACCCCATATAATTCTTTAGTTTGCCCAGTATTTCCTCAGGCGTCCAGTGTCGTTCAGCTGAAAGGAGTGCTTCGGACCACGAATTCATTACAACCCTTATACCAAACTAAAACAAAGAAATACCAATTTACCATTTGGATAAGTACGTCAGTACAGAATCTTATGTAAACACGGGGTGAAATTCGTCTCGGGATGAAATTTATTCGCATTTTTTCTTCAGTTTTCACATATTCTTATTGTACGTACGTAATAGTTCATCTTTGCAACCGCTGACAAGACGTTAAACTATAGTCAGCCTGCATGTCAGCATGTGTCTAAAGTTTCTATACATGTAGATTCGTAATTTTATTTTATTTAATTAAAGATAATGACAAATGCCAATCATAAATTAAACAAACATGTATACAAACCTAGCATACAAACCTGTTCCTGATGTCTTATATCTGATGAGTCTGTATCCCATCCCTTTTCATCCAACACAATAACACTAAAACTCTCTTCATCAACGGTAGCTTGAAACATTCTTTCTTTCGCCTCGCGGTAAAAAGTGCACTCAAAACCTTCCGGAATTTGATGCTCGTTTTCATCAGGTAAATACATATGATGGTTCTGCTTATCAAATTTGCAGTTGGACAGATAATCCGATAGAACTGCGTCTTCTTCAATACATACACTATCTTTGTCGGTCACATAACGGGAACCTATATCAACACAAGAGTTTTATTGGACTTTTTGTGGAAACAACTTCAATATTATGTTTGTGATGTTACTCTGAGTATGCATCCACACCGGGCCAAGCTGAAAAGTTTCCTTGGCCACGGTGGGAATCGAACCCGCGACCTTCGGGATACTAGTCCAATGCTCTGCCAACTGACCGACTTGACCACGTAGCTCAGTTGGCAGAGCATTGGACTAGTATCCCAAAGGTCGCGGGTTCGATTCCCACCGTGGCCAAGCAAATTTTTCAGCTTGTCCAGTGTGGATGCATACTCAGAGTAACATCACAAACATCATATTCACCTGAGTACACAACACCAACACACAAAAAAACCCTTCAATATTCCTCATTCAGTTATATTAGCAAAAAGTACGACATTGTCCGTCAAGTGAAGTATAATATAACGGTACAGTAGCTCCGAAAATGATTTTTAAGATGGCCACGCGTTCGACTAAGTGTATAGGCCTACTACCCTTAATAATTAATTAAAGTAATTTAATATGAGATATATTGTTCAACCTTGGAACTATTTACGTTGACATTTAAAACTATTATAAACTTTCCATTCAGAATACCGCGGTAGACGGTACGCATTTGGCCTCTTTGAAACGTAGAACGTTTCAGACATGTGCTGAATCAACAGTCACGAGTTTAAACAAAATATATATTTAAAATTTAGTGCATTCTTACGTTAGATTCGTCAGATCAGATGAGAAGTTCGACGTTTGAAACGCGCCTCACTACATTTTAAACTGCCCAGTGGTAATTATAAGTAAGTGTATTCATATAATTCTCAATTTAAATTTGTTAGTTAATATAAGTTTTATCCGAAATAACATACCAGCTCTTAATTCAACTGTGAGTTTGGTGTCATTATTTCCCCTCTAAGAACAGAGACTGATGGGTAACAAATCCAAGCCTTAATGGCCTCCGCCGCCTGGATAAAAACTGGTGATAAAATATTCTTTACTTCAACTGGTGGCTTGTCATCACTACCAGAAGGCAAGCCTTCCCATGCTTTCAGCCTAACGCTTCTGTCTGGAAAACATGAAAAACAAAACGAAGGATATTAACAAGAAATTACTATATGCTAAAAAAATTAAACTCACTGCTTCACACAGCCCGGACATTTTTTGTATACATTTTCAATGTGCATTCATAATACGCTAATTTAGGGCAAATTATAACAACAATAAATATCGGGAAAACCTATTAATTGAAAACGACCCAAAACTATTTTCTGGGATACGAAAGCTTAAGACTTCATTTACTTACGCCCGTATTCTAAAAGCAAACCCCGTTTACACTAGACTGAAAATTGGGAACGGGACGGCAAAAAATCGGAACGGTTCCTGTCTTTACTCGGAACGGGTAGGCTAATTTTGTCAATGTAAACATGCCGTTCTTTCTTGAATTTTCGGTACGGTGCCTCACTTTCCAAGCATTTTACGACCACCGTTTTAGGTGGTCCCATGCCCAAAAACAAGCGGAACCGTTCCTGTTTTTTACTAGCCCCAGCCTTTCACGCGGAATAAATCTTGCATGCGCATGCTTGTGAACGAATTCCAAGATGGCTGCCAAAAGTACAAAAAAGAATTCGCGGCGATGGTCAGATATTGCAACGATGGATTTGATTCATTTATGGGGAGGAGAAAGTATACAGCTTTCCCAATAGATAGCAGCAAGTCCAGTAAACAAGCTAGGGCGATACACCGGTCGCTAATGGTAGGTTTCTGTTTTAATATAATACATTTAAATACTTTCGAATATTATATATTTATACTTTGTGCAATTTGAGATTGTTGATTTGTGCCGCAATACAATCTCGTTCCCCGAGCATGCCCGTTCGCAGGTTAAGGGTGGGCATAGCTCTGGAGAAATCGAATTGATTCAGGCCTGTGTTTGGCTAACGGCAGATACTCTGCGGCAGATATACGTTGGAGTTCCAACGTGATTGGCAATAGCTACAAAATATAAACAAAGTATTTGAATTTCTCGTCGAAAATGTGATACTTTTTACACTGAAATCGATTGAAAACAACTAAAAATTCTGGGGGAAATATGTACGAAAGCTTCGGATTGATAAGGATACAACTACCTGAAAAATACAAGGAGAACTTCGACGTTTCGAGCGAAGGCGCTTCGACTTGTGTTATTAGTGTTTCATAAGGTCAAGTACGATGTATACAAACACTAACAGTACAAATCGAAACGCGTTCGCTCGAAACGTCGAAGTTCTCCTTGTATATTTCAGGTAGTTGTATCAATATCCAACCGAAGCTTTCGTACATATTTCCCCCAGAATTTTTAGTTGTTTTCAATTCCATTTCAGTGTAAAAAGTATCAAATTTTCGACGCGAAATTCTAAATACTTTATTTATATTTTGCAACAATTGCCGAGCATGCGTAGAACTCACGTTGGAAATTCAACGTGAATCAATTCGATTTCTCCAGAGCTATGCCCACCCTTAACCTGCGAACGGGCATGCTCGGGGAACGAGATTGGCCGCAATAAAGCAAGTAAACTAATAGATCTCGACTCGATGATGAAACGTCCGCCATTTTGGTTCATATTAATACGCATGCTCAGTATACAAATTACCCGTACCGTTCCCACTTATCAAAATTTCGGAAGCAGTCCGATTTTCAAGCTTTTAAATTAACCAGTGTAAACATAGCATTCCTTTACTGGCAGAAGCGGAACCATTCCGATTTTTTGCCGTGCCGTTCCTAAATTTTATATAGTGTAAACGGGCCTACAGTCACACTCGATGAGTGCGGGTTCATTCTGAGCTTTTCTTGAGTGTCAACGCTGTTTTTGAATAGCTGGAGGGTGAGTAGTCACATACCAAGGTACGACACTAACCCTTCAGCTATTCAAAAACAGCATTGACACTCAAGAAAAGCTCAGATTGAACCTCCACTCATTGAGTGTCAGTGCATGTGAGTGAGCTTTTAGAATACGGGCGTCACAAGCAAAGTCTATAAGTAAATAAAGCCATGCACCCGGCTATAACTGCTATATGAGAACATAATATGCAGAAAGGCTCACAAAACGAAGGGAAAAAATATGCAAGCAGTATATCAGTTGGCAAAGAGTACACGGTTGGGGATTTTGCTGAAAATGGAAACAGGGTCAGAGCAAGTTTTACGACTTCATGGCTGTCAACTAATGCCAACCGTGAAACAAAAATAACAAGCATGAATTTTGTCGAAGACAATTAACACAACATCTTAATAACTCCAGTGATACACATTTCAGTCTGGATTTCAGGAATAAAATTATATAACGTACTTGCTTTGTGTGCGTTTCATTTAAACCACTCTTAAGTCAACATGATGTACTTATAATGTGAGATGGTTAATTACAGTGTTAAAATAACAGTATATTATTATTCATTTTGGACAATTCAGCCCCGCTTATATTGCCTAGTTAAAACACAGAAACATGTTATTCTCTTTGAAAAAGTTCATGATTCTTGTCAGAGTAATGATATGTCCAATTCCAGAATTACATGTAATTGAATAATTGACTTAAACTGATCACACCCAGATACCCCCACACACACACACACACACTCACACACACACATACCACACTTACGCTTAAATCCCTTCGCGACGGTCTTGCATGGGTAAAGTTTTAGAAAGAAAAATAATTTCTTATTACCATAAAACAAAGATATATATGTTATCAAACTATTTGCTCTAGTTTTCAAATGCGCAGTAAATACGAGTGAACAACATACATGATGGAGTTCCGAAGCCAAAATCGTAACGCCACTGTGTATGAACTAGCTTGAGACCAAGAAATCCATGATTGTCATCTCCAAACTGTGGAAGTGCGCCGTCATTAACGTCTAACGGATCGACGCCCTCTTCAAAAGAAACCCTCCAATAGGCATCATTCCGTATAGTAGCTCGGCTGACTATCTTTGTTATTCGTCCATTAATATCTACTGGCGAGAAGGTATTCTGAGTTTCATCTAAATTAAACAAAAAAATTATAAAAAGATTATAACGACTCGGGGAAGGAACGTCGATGGCATAAATACTGCAGCCTAGCCGCGAAAACGTTTGAGTTCAAAATCCAATGAAAATATCACATGATCGAGTATTATTATTACTTAAAGTTCAGTAACAATTTATTTACTGCATATATAATTACTACATTTGTGTTTTGAGAATTATCTGTGGTAACCGATATGCTGAACAATTTGTTAATAAATAAAACTTTGTAGTTCTCTAAAAACATTACTAAAGCCCTGTTTAAACGGATCCAACATTGTTGGGCCAACATCATCCAACATTGTTGAAATAATGGCCCAAACGGCTTCTTTTTCAAATATTTTTGTCAAGACTAGGTTTAGAGTTTGAGTAAAGCTTATCTAACCAAAAATATTTGAAAGAGAAGCAGTCATATCTATTATAGTAACATTGTTGGATGATGTTGGTCCAACAATGTTGGATCCGTTTAAACAGGCCTTAACATATCATATCCCAGAAAGTTGTAGCGTCCAGACGCCTTTGGACGCCCAAATTCTGGGGAAAGGGAAATTATTTATAAGTAATAACATGACTAGAGGGAGATTAGCGATTAAATTGCCCGACGCCGAGGGAAGATTTGTGACTTTCACAAGTCTTCCCGAGGCGAAGGGCAATTTAATCGCTAATTTCCCAACTAGTCATGTTATTAGTTTATAATATTATGATCACCGAGCTGTGACCGAGGTATCGCGCGTGATGCGTTGGTCTGTTTTGAATGCTGTTTGATTGCGTTATGATTTTGGGATGAATACTTTTCATATATACGTACGCGCAGAAACACATCTCCGTGTTCATTCTTTTTACGCAGCGGCATAAACCGAATTTTACCCAACAATTGAAATGTTCAAGATTGCGGAATAAAAACTGGCAAAGGAATTGTTCGAATGTGTACGGGACGGTGTCGTCAGATACTGTCCATAATTGTGCCGATGATTTTCGATGAGGTACAGCTCTCCAATGAGAGGTAATGAGGAAAATACGGGATCGCTGTACCAAAATTGGACGCCCTCTTTTAGGAGCCTGATTGAAAGCTAGCCCGGGAGGTGAATAGTACTTTTCACGCAAACGCTTTTCAACTCCGCGTATCCTTGCACAATTCACCAGGACAAGAACAAAATGGCTCCCCGTTTCGTTCCGGTTACATGCGCATGCGAGCACATTTTTGTACTAAAATAACTAAACGAACACGCGTTTCCCCAAACACGAAGAAAGCCACGAAGTTTTGTCTAACAATGTATGTTAAACAGCTAGAGGTATTCGTTAAAGCTATTTCTAATGAATAAAATTACTAAACGTGTGTAAATATTGTTTTGTTTACAACTATTACTGGAGCCAAAATAAACATTGTTTTACTGTAAAAAAATATTCTTTTTCATGGTCATTTTTATATTGTTATGATATGCTAAAACAATTTATTTTTCACATTTGTTCTTTAGAGAAAATATATTTAATATCCCCTGCAATTTAAGTGTGTGAAACTCTCTCCTCCGCAGAGCCTCCTTAAGTATTTACAAATAACTTACATGAAGTTTCCTGAATAAAAGTGAGCGCGCGCGGTGTGATGGGAAGATTGAAATGAAGTTTGGGAGGCTCTGCCAGATAATGCGACGAAGTATGGTTTTTGAACCAAACTAGTTGTTTGACCTTTTTTTAAACTTGAAATCGACGGAAATGTGAAAGAAATTGAAATGAATCTTCATAATCTGAGTATCGAAGTTCAATAGAGTCATTTTTATAAAGAAATGTTGCAATTAAGAGGATATTTATAATTAGATAGCTCGTATCCATTGATATTCGTTTGCAATTTCTCAATATTTTTCGATGCAAATGGACAGAAGAAGATATTGATATTGAATTCACCCCAGGTACTCAAGTACGCCTGAAAATGAAAGTTGAAAACATGTTTTAACACCCCCGATGGTTGATCGAACTTATACCAAGTTGTTTTTCTCGATTTCTGTTTAGAATATAAACACAATGATAGAATGACTAGTACTTTTTCACCAGGCTTAGAATTAAAAAAAGTTTCTGTTGAACTCTAATTTATTCAGGAAATGGCTGAGAAAATTGGTAAAATGAAATGTAAAACTATACTCCTCCAAATAAATTAAAGTTTTTCAAAATACACTTTTCAGTTCACAAGTTTAGAAGACACAATACAGCGTCAAAACACCATACAGTACAACAAAAACATGACATGTCAAAAAGAAAAAGTATTGTCCAAATTGAGATCTATAGGATATCGAAAATAAAAGAATATTACCACAGGTTTTTCCCGAGTTTTAAATAGGTTTTAAATTGTCCGTGAATATGTTTCACACAGTAAAATAATAAAGAAATCCTACCTTACAAATTTGCTACTTATGCTTCTTTCGTTTGTGGGAACCATGCATTTTTTTCAATATTTTGTCGATTTTGAAACCAAATTTGCCGAATCATTCTTTTTTAAAGGCATGTCTAGTCTGCTAGTAAATATTGCGTCAGATTTACTAGTCAACTAGCCAATCAGAACACACAAAAGCTCAATTGGTATGCAAAATTTATACTAATACAGCATAAAATAGTTATAATTGCAAAGACAATTTTTACAAGAAAATTGACATATACTAATAATACCGATACCAAGACATCATGTCATTTACAGTGCATTTTAAAACCTACTGTATGTATGGTTATTACCTTCATCAACACAAGTAACAAACACTTTCCCAAAATGACACCACAAGTCAGCCATCAATTGTTTCTCATCCTGTAACTCGTTCAATTTTTGTAGTGACGTCGATAGATGGTTTTTAATTTCTGAGATTGTTTTGTCACTGATTTCGCTCTAAGAAAAGGACATGGGATTAATTGTTTTTATACTATGTTCCGTTGTCCAACTTGTAAAAAAACAAATCATATTAATGCTGAAGACGGAGCATGCTAGATTACCATCTGACGACAAATCACAGTAGGAACAAGCCCTATTAACTTGCATTATATTTAAAATCCACATGCAAGTCCTGTAAAGTAAGGCAATTCAGTTTTGTGTGTTGGGCATAAAAGCATGAAACAATACATAAACTATAAAAGTGGCTTTTTCCACATCTTTACAATACGTGCAGTCTGTTTGTGTCATAAATATTGGAGAGAAGAATATACTTCACCTATACATGCAAGAACCGGGAAATTTTACACTTTACCGTACCGGAGTAATCACTAAATACATACGCAAACAAAGTACGCCAATAAAAGAGCGGAAAACCGTCAGCACGTGCACACACGCCATCAAATACTTGTAAATTTATTTATTTATTTATTTATTTACTTACTTAACAACTTTATTGGAACCACAATTTTAAAAAAAGATTAAAAAAAAGAAGAAATCCATGCAAACAAATGGCCCAGATTTCTACGTGTGCACACGAGCTAGGACCGCGATATGCGGCATATCACGATAATATTGATTCCTATATTCTATACTACTCAGACAAAAATTATACATCTCTGCTTGAAGAATCAAATACTAATCTATCCACAATAATATATGATTTTGTTTTAGTTTGTAAATGTCACTATGATGTAGCTAAGTGCAAGAGTAACATTTACTGTACCTGATAGACATCGTCAGTTTCAATTCTATATCTTTCTCTTTGAATGAAGCCATCCAATTTAGGGGCACTTCTACCCAGCTTTAAACGAAATTGTTCATTTTCATCCTTATAGGCGAAGCAAACAAAATGCTTATCGCCTCCAAATTCATACCTCATCATTTTCTCTTTATGAAAAGTCTTGAAGAGAAAATTTAAAGTCATGAAATTCTTACAAATATTAGTCCTTATCCATCGGCAGAAAAAAAACCCAACTTACTATGCAATGTCTAATACGCGATTCAGCTCCGTCACTATTTTTCGGTGGTCCAATAATTTTCACCTGAACTGTGTCTCCATCTTGAGCTTTAATAGGGAAAAAACGAGTCAATATATTTAGTATGCATGGCTCTCTAAAAAGGAAAAGGAAATGTTTGCAAGGGTCCCAAAAATACTCCTACCGTACTATCCTTTGTAATATTATTACATGTACTTTAGATTCAATAGAGGTTTTAGGTTTTTATTTCGGATAGGATATTTAACAAATCATGACAATACATTCATATATATTTGACTAATCGAAACAACCAACCGCTTGCCTTCTATAATCCATTCTATATGGGATCCTCCAAACTCTGAACGAACTCACTGCGCAAATTAAGTTAAAAGCTATAGCTTTACAATATGATTAGAAGGGCGCTAAAGAAAGTGCCTTATCACCGTCCACAAAAACGACGATTCGTGGCTCCTAAATACCATGAAGATGTGGTTTCATACTTAAAAAAGTGACCTGTACAAATGCTCAGGGGTGTAACGAGCATGGTAGAAATACTCGCAATGAAGAATTAAACTTTATTGAAACAGCCAAAAATTCAGTTCGAATTTAAAATTAGGTCATTTTACTATGGTCCTTATTTTTATCAGGTTGTTTTTGAAAATCATTTTGTAAGTGAAAAAGTTTCCTGTAGGGCCATCGAAATGTTGCGCGTGGTCCGTGGCAAAACTTTTCCAGGGGAACCCTATATGAATCCATAACTCTAAAACAGGAGAACCGGTGTTTTACAATATATACTAGAAATACATGCATGCAATAACCCCTCGCCTGTTTTCAAAAGATATATACTCAGTGCCGTTGCGAGCACTTCGTCGCAGGGTGTG